AACGGAGACCGACGTCTTGGGCCTACGCAGCCTAGGCGGCCCGTGGATGAGGGGTGTCTATAACGGAAGGCAAGGCCATGCCTCCAGCATTTCATGAAGCATAGGGGGTACAGGCCCCGGCGATATTGGTCGACCCGCGTCGTCATCGCTCGAGGAGTCCCTTAGCGCACCCAGCATCTTCATTTTTCTGGGCGAAGTCAAGACCGCCTGAACATCGCTAGGATCATCGATCACTTTGGTGTTCACATCCCCATGGCCTGTTTCTGAATCGAAGCGACGGTTTGGGGGTGGAACTTGGATTGCCACTTCAACCTACATTGGGTCCAGCGTTGAGTCGATTGTGGGTGGCAGTTGCCTCGGCCGGCTCCATAGCACCAGGTCTGCCTCAGCCTCAAGACCAACTACCTCGCACGACAAGCTAGGGCGGCCGTCCAGCTGATGCTCGCGGTGCAAAGTTGCCCCCAAGCCAGGCACAGACATTGGTCATGTCCTCCGACACCTCATAATTCGAGGCAAGGTGCGCCTAGAAATCCACTGATGAGACAGCTGGATGATTCCCACCAACGAGCGCGACAAGAACAAGAGAGAAGTTCGCTTTAGACATGGCGAGCTCCGTGTTCTTTGGGATGACGAAGACCTTGATCTTGGGATGACTATCAGCATCACCCAGAGGTGGTGATAGCGGTAGGCTGCTGCTGTGGCAACAATGACGGCGTGATCGACTGCTGCACACGACGAGGCAACGACGGTGTCTGCGCCTGGCCTGGCGCGTCGCAACCTCCCGACGACAAGCTGGGTCGCCATGGACCAGCACAGCAACGCGCCTTGGCACCCGACCAGGCGATGCGCCTCCGAGGACGAAGGCTTGCACATGCCGGCGAAGGGCCTCGCTTGCACGCCGACGAACGACCACGCTTGCAAGCTCCGGTTGGACGGGGCGGTGGCGTTTGGGTGTCGTTTTCCTCGGGTAGTGCCGGTGATGACGACTCATGAAAGTCAGAAAACCATCGGCGTCGATGTTGGGCCCTCGATGGGGCTACGGGACGTGTTAGGCACGGACGCCCAACGCCGCAGGCCCCACGGACGCCCAACGCCGCAGGCCAAGATGCTAGTGCACTGGGACTCTTGCCGCCGGCTGCGAACCAAGGCGACACAACGTAGGCATTCGCGCGGCGTTCAGCGGTGGAGACCCATGGCCACCGGGCGCATAGGTCCTGCGTCGATGGCGCCGCTTCCCCCTTGCAGGCCTAGGATGGGTTCCCTCCACGTTGGCTGCTTCCTGCACCGTGTTCGGAGCGCCCACCAGCGGTGGAGGCATGGTCCGGACAGCCTTGCGAGCGACGTCCAGGTACGTCAAGCGCGTGGCAAAAGAAGCGAGTTTGCTGTCGGAGTTGCCCGCGCAGGGTCTTCCTCCCAACGCTGGAACTTACTCCTGCCAGCCGATCGACGGGCAGGGAAGAAGGGGCGGCATGCGGGGGCAGGGCGGACGACGAGGACCTGCCCGAGCGAGCTGCCGTTGCTAGCGAGGTGGATGGCGGTGTGGACGCCCGTGCAGCTTCAGCGGCTTCCTCGTCGTCGTCCTTGTCATCATCATCTTCCTCCTCATCGACGCCTTCCAGGACGTCCTCGACTACGACCAGTGTCTCGTCCTCCATCCTTCCACCCGTGGCAGACACCGGTGTAGGTGAGGTGGCAGCCAGGTTCTGGGGATTGCCCCAGCCGAGCAGAGGGCTGTGACCGGGCGGGAGGGTGCCGACGGCTGAGGAGGCTGAGGGCGACGGCACGACGACGGATTTGTGCTCGGCCGGCGTAGCCTCCCCAGGAAGCGACGGGCGACCTCACCTCGCCCACGGGTCGATAGATCAGGTTGCTGGGGCTTGGATCTTGTGTTGGTTGGGGCGGATTGGTGCCATCCACCGGCGGTGGGCAGCCGGCGTCAACGCCACAGGGGGGTGGCGCCGCTGCTTAGGCCCATCGCCAGAAGACGACTTCTGGGGGGCGCCATTGGCCACAATGGGGCGGCGGAAGGCGTGGCAATGATCTTGGCAAGACCAACACACCACTGGTGGGTGGTGGTCAGCAATGGAATCGATTTCAGGCGTCGACAGGGAGGCAGTGGACGGGGAGCCGCATGGGTCAAATGCTAGCGGCGGTGGCCTCACGGCAGGCTAGGGATGGGCTCCCAAGCCACCCATGCCGGCTCGGGCCACGTCTGCTGCGGCCACTCGCACCTCCACCAGTGGACCTGCAGATCCGGCTTGCGCTTCCTCTGCAGCTGCGGCGGGCGGGGCGCAGCAGCGACTGAGGCTCCGACGGCCTCATCTTCCGTACAGGTCGCCGCCTCCACCTCCGACATGGCTGCAACGCTGTCCTGGCCATCCGAACAGGCAAACGACCCCTTGAATGGGAGATCTCGTTGGGGAGGAGTAGGATCTGAAGTGGATTTAGCTTTTGGCCTTGCATCTCGGGTGGATTTCAGAGGATTTTGAGCGGGGGTGGTGTGGAGGGCTCGGGTTGGGAGACCCTCCAGGAGGGTCCAACGGCTCCATCTTGCTTAATTCATAGGAGCTCTCTCCTTAGTAAATTGACACTCGTAAAGAGATATGGGAATTCGCTGAGAATTTATGTGAAATTTCTTTAATTCGTTACCGCCTTAGTCCTCTCGGTCACGAGTTACGTCGGTCTTGCTAGAGAGATGTTTTATCGAAGATCATATTCATTTATTGTTTTTTCTGCACGCGGAGTCCAGTTCACGCAATCCTCCTACCAGTCGCACAACTCACTCCAACACAAGGAGACCAGCGAAAAATAAATAAATAAATAAAACAAATAAAATAAAACCCGTGAGGCGCAGCGCAAACCAGTTTAGGAAGCGGACGAGAGGCCAGCTCAGGCCAGATCACACGAAAAAGAAAAGAAAAGAAAAACCCGCAAAAAATATAATTAAATAAATTGACAAAAAATCAGAGAATGCGAGGCGGGTACGGCAGCCCTAGCTTAGCTCTGTGCTTTTAGCCCCCCTGCGCGTCTGCCCCAACCCCTCCTGCCCTCCTCCTATAAAAGCCGCCCGCCTCCGTCTCTCCCCCGCACTCCATCGCTTCGCCGCCGTTCCCCGCAACCTGTCGAGTTTCGACCCAATCGCATCCGACCCGGCGCAGCATCGTCGTCCCCTCCAGATCTCCGCCCGCCCGAGGTGCGTCCCGATCTGCTTGATCCATTTGGCTGCGTCGCTGTGATCCGTCTGGGTGCGTCGCGTGTGGTTGCATAGGTTTCGGATCCAGCGTGTTTCCAGGCTAGGGTTTGAGTATGTATTCGTAAGGAACCTTTTCTCGGATTTAGTCAGGGTTTGTTTGGTATAAGATCACCTAGGGTTTGAGTATCCGTGAGGTATCTAACTAGGATTTTAATTAGGGTTTGCTTGGTAACACAAACCACCCAGATTAGGGTCTTGTTCAGTTCCAGAGTGTAAAGTTTTGGGGTGTCGGTGTCGCATGGGTGGTCGGATACTAATAAAAAACAAATCATAGAATCCGTCAGTAAACCGCGAGACGAATGTATTAAGCGTAATTAATCCATCATTAGCAGTGTAGCACTTTATTGTCAAATCATGGACTAATTAGGCTTAAAAGATTCATCTCGCAAAGTAGTCGCAATCTGTGCAATTAGTTATTTTTTAGTCTATATTTAATACTCCATGCATGTGTCATGTGATAGGGTGTAAACTTTTGGGGGAGGAACTAAACAAGGCCTAGGTTGTGGTCAGATTTTGGTTTATGCCAGATTAATGAATTTTTCAACTGTGCGTGTACAACAGATTTGTTGTATATTCGCGTTGGGGGGGTTTGTTTGGATAGGTATTAATTGGGATCCTAAAAGTTCATGTAATATGCTCTATTGTGTTCGATTTCAGTTTATGCCAGATTAATGATTTTTTCAACTGTGGGTGTAGATTTGTTGTGTATACGTGTTCTAGCTCTGTTTGGATAGGTGACAGTATTTGGGATCCTAAGATATTTATGCACTTGGATTTGCCTGCTGCTGATTATGTTGTGGTTTATGTTGGTAGGCATATGTGTGTTCTAGCTCTGTTTGGGTAGGGATTTGGTTGTTTATTATTGTTTGGGCTTATTATTTGTGATAGCTTGTCTTGTCTTATATTTTGCAAGATGATGTATCTTCTGCCAACCAATTGTAGTCTTGAGGGTAATATAATCGCCTATATATTAGTTTTGTTTATATTCTGGTGTTTTTTGTGTGCTCACTATGTCCTTCTGTACATGGGATGCAATGACTTGGACTCTTGGTTAGGAATTATTTCCCAGCTGTTGTTAGTTTATTGTTTACTGGTGAGCTACCATACTAAATGTGCATTCATCCAGGAGATACACTTTTCTGAGTTGATGCAATAATACGATGAATGATGGGATCTCCGTGTATCCTTTTGAACCAAATCATATTCTCTTTGTTTGTAAGTTATTTGGGTAGGTTTATGAAAGTTCTGTTCTGGGTGATGGTGTAATCATTTTGTTTTGTTGCCTATCAGTATACGTGGTTGAATTGCTCTCAGTTCATATTACTAGCTATTCTGTCATATGATGTAATATGTTGTCTACAATTGAACTTTCAGCTTGGATGTTCCCATCCACTTTGGTGCTGTATGATCTCTTTCTGATATTCAATCCTCTGTTTGTGCTTACCAGGTAGCAGCAACTGTTCTGCTGCAGTCTGACAAAGTGGAGGGCTTAGGAGTTGCTGCTTCTTTTATGTCTGAACAATCTTTGCTTTATTTGGGATTGCTGGGAGAGTACTCTCGCGCGACGAGGAAAAGGCACAAGGTTCCGTTCCACTGCATGCATCAAGAGCCCATCTGGTTTCCTTGTTCTGAGGTGTCATTTGCTGGTGCTCAGAGTCCGCTTGGTTTTCTCGGAGGATCAGCAGCTACTCTCGATTCAGGACTTTGTCGCATCTGATAGCATCAACTTAATACATCTTTATCGAAGATGGCGCTGCAAAACATTGGTGCTTCAAACAGGGATGATGCCTTCTACAGGTACAAGATGCCCAGAATGATTACCAAGATAGAAGGTCGTGGTAATGGTATCAAGACAAATGTTGTGAACATGGTTGACATAGCAAAAGCACTTGCCAGGCCAGCTTCCTACACAACCAAGTACTTTGGATGTGAGCTTGGTGCGCAGTCCAAATTTGATGAGAAGACAGGGATTTCCTTGGTTAATGGGGCTCATGATACTGCAAAGCTGGCTGGTCTCCTTGAGGTATTCATCAAGAAGTATGTCCAGTGTTATGGATGTGGGAATCCTGAGACTGAGATTCTCATCTCAAAGACCCAGATGATATCACTGAAATGTGCAGCCTGTGGGTTTGTCTCAGATGTTGACATGAGGGACAAGCTCACAACCTTCATCCTGAAAAACCCACCAGAACAGAAGAAGGGAGGAAAAGACAAGAAGGCCATGAGGAGAGCTGAGAAGGAACGATTGAAGGAAGGTGAGGCTGCTGATGAGGAGATGAAGAAACTGAAGAAAGATGCAAAGAAGAAGGGTGCATCTTCCAAGGAGTCCACTGCCAAGGGTTTGAAGAAGAAGGCTACTGCTGCTGGCTCTGATGAGGACCACTCAACCTCTCCAACTCGCAGCCGTGATGGTGACCATGCAGTTGCAGATGAGGAAGAGGATGATGTTCAGTGGCAGACTGACACTTCTATCGAGGCTGCGAAGCAGCGCATGCAGGAGCAGCTGAGTGCAGCAACTGCTGAAATGGTGATGTTGTCCACTGAGGAGACTGAAAAGAAGAAGAAACAGTCAACCCATGTTAATGGTTCAGCAAAAGAAATCCCTGTTGAAAAACCTGCTGTTACTAAGCCTAGTCCCTATGAAGAACTGGTTGGAGACATCAAGGCTAGCCTGGGAAGTGCTCCCACACCTACCCAGCTCAAGGCTATGCTGGCCTCCTCAACCCTTCCTCCCCAGGACGTGATGAATGCTCTCTTCGAGGCTCTCTTTGATGGTGTGGGCAAGGGATTCGTGAAGGAGGTTGTGAAGAACAAGAAGTACCTTGCAGTTGCTGTGCCAGATGAGGCTGCCCAGACCTTGCTGGTTCAGGCCATTGAGGCTTTTGGTGGCAAGTGCAACCCTGAGGTGCTGAGGGAGGTCCCTGTTGTCCTGAAAGCCCTGTATGACGGAGATATCCTGGAGGAGGAAACCATCGTGGACTGGTACAATGCTGCTGTTGCAGCTGGAAAGGACTCCCAGGTCGTCAAGAACGCCAAGCCCTTTGTTGAGTGGCTTCAGAGTGCCGAGTCTGATGAAGAGGACGATGAGTGAAGAGGCGGCGCTGCTCTACTGCTGCTCATGCTGCACTTAATATTATATATTTCAATTAAGTCCTTTGCTTGTCTAGTGTGATCGTGTGTCAGTGTTCGCGTAGTGTCGATATCTAATTGTCATCAAACTGTTAATTGTCGTGTGGTGCAGCATACCCTATGTGGTTGGCTGCGTATGGTGTCGTCAGTTTGGTGTCTGTTGGACAAGGATTATTATGTTCCTGTGGATTGCTACTATATAATATTTGCTTGGGTTGTTTTTATAACCTTTCGGGATGTTGCATTTTCTTATTGTATTGTTGGTTCTGTATTTTAAGCGGTGAGGATTATGAAATCCTTAGCAGGTAAGGCCAAGTATGGGTCGTCTTCATAACGTAGACTGAGGTCTCGTGGCGATGTTTTGATTTGAGCCTATAGAAGAAGCCTTAACTAGCCCATTTTTGCCTGTTGCGCTCTGGAATTTTTTTTGTTCTGGAGTGTAAATTCCATTCGTGCCTGCAGCCATTCGAGGAGATGTTTAGAAGGTAGTAGTTTGGTAACGGTAAGAGAATGGAGAGGAACGCATTCTTCTCGTTTTTGTTATGTTGGCTCCCTTAGTAGCATTTACCTAGGCGTTTTTGTTATGTCGGCTCCCTTAATACTGTAGCATTTACCTTGACAGGAAAACGAAAAGATATTTTATACTTTTGCATTGAACTGTGAAAGAGTAGCATTTCAAATTCAGCAATTTTGCCCACGCATAACATCTGTGCTCAACTCACTATTACTGCTATATGACAATGTCTTAAATCGAGTAACATCATTTTCTGAGATGCAAGCTTTGATGTACGATGGCCTCCCCGGATCAACGCTTTCTCTGTTCTTGGTTTTGGAACCTCCTTTACACACACACATCAAGATTTTTGCAATGAAATGCATTTCCTTAGCGTGTTGTATCGTATGTAATCATTCAGCAACTCTCTTTTAATTTCTGGAGATGTTTACTCCAGTTTTTGGAGCACACAAATTCGGTGTTATAACTGAATTACTACTCAATTAAATGAAGGGATTGACAATACTTTACAGTTTCGAAGCATACATACCAATAGTTTGGTCATGGTAATGTTATCGCCGACTCGTTAGTTTTGTCATGGTACATTAAAAAAAAAAAGCTGTTCTGTTTTTGTTTCCGTATTTCAAAACTATAAATTTGTGGCATCTAAACACTTCATAGCACTATAAAGCCATGGTATTTTCTAAAACTCAAAACATACTTTGCATCCAAATTCCAAATAGGACCGAGGCTGGAATGGTACAGTTATGAGAAGAGCGTTGTAAGTATAGATTTGATATGATCTTGTCCAAGTGACTTTTATTTGGTTAGACTAACTCCACGATTTTCAAATCAGGCCCCTACTTTTGTTTGAGGGTTCTACTTTTGGTGTGCTCAACTCTAGTAAGGGTTTCTCAAAACAGTTTTACTTATGAACTTTAGTGATTTCATCATATTATTGTTACTTTTTTAAAAAATACATATGCAGGAAAAAATCACCTTGAATCTAATTAAGGGCCAAAGTCGCTTGGTTCTAAGTAGTTTGATGGCCAAAGATATGCGGTTAAGTTTGATGACCAAAATCGGACTTCGGTGATATAGTTCGATAGCTGAAAGTAAACTTCGTCTACCTAATTGATTGAATTGCGCTATTTTGTAGTTGCCACCTTTTAAGGTGGTGTTTTGCAAGTATGCCATCATTCATTTTGATGGGCTTGCAGCTGAAGTCTGAACTGAACTACTGGAAGACCCTTAGGCTGCCACTTGATTTTCCTTTATATCTACTATTCCTGTCTCCAACTGTTACATCATGCGATCCCGCAATCTTGATCGTATTGCATATTCAGCTTGTGCAGCATTTCATTGTGCATCATAATAGGTCTAGTGTTCAATTGTTGGTTCTTGAGCAGGTAGCATGTATCCGAATTCATAGCTGAACAAAATTAAGCAGTTGGACAGTCGATGTCGTACGTGTAGTCGTGTACAAACAATGTTTTATGCAGGAACGTAACTCACAGGAACACGGCCACACGGGAGATGAGAAGGAAGTGCCAATCATCATGGGCATGGCCAGCAAACGCTGGAGCCTGGAGCTATGCTATCCTAGAAGCACATGGATTGCTTTCTTGGTGGTGTCGTCATCCCTTGAAAACACCCCACCACCTTGTTGCTACCTTCCCATCCTGCAAAAGGAATAACAGATAAATACTGTGATTCAACCATCAGGGTGTGTATTCGCAAACATTTAGATCCCCTTTGGAACTTGGGAAAATTTTACTGTTTTCTACGTTTTTCCTTTGAAAATGGATCAATTCTTATGAAATTCCTGCGTTCTAAAGTTCTCCCCTATGTTTTATTCCAGCAGGAGGGAGAGGGATACCTTTGGCCATGTTGAAGCCGCGTTTCTCCAGCTCCTTGTACTCCTGGCCAAGCGCGCAGGGGCCACACCAGAAGTGGACGCAGCAGTCCAAGCAAGGGGATTCTTGCAAGTTGTATTGCGCGCGCATTGAGGAGCGCTTGGTACAACCATACAGCCATTGGCAACCTATTGTTGAAAGCAGATAATACAGTGTGCCATTCATGCAGCATGCTGCAAACAAGCGGGATAGTGAGCCAGGGAGACTGATGGCCTTGTGCATGCATCCACCAGAAAGATGAAGATAAACTTTTTCATCGAAAAGAATGAAAGAAGAAGATGAGGGTAGAACACCTACATGTGGAGCCTCTATCCACGATCTCAGCAGTGCGGCCAAATGTGACACAGGGGCACCAGAAAGTCAAGCAACCTGCAAACATTGGGAAAGAAAGAACTGAAACATGGATGAGGTGTTTGCAAGAAGCACGTGGAAGAACAGAGAAGCCAGCTAGGTTTGCATACAGGTGTGGAAATCTCCAAAGCAGTCGCAAAGCCCGACTGACCACTCCCCCGTCATGCTGTGAGTTGTTTTAGCAAGTGTGGTCAGTTGCTTGGGTAGACTGTGGATTGAAAAAGATGGTGAAGAGGTCTGGCCTACCTCTGTGTGTTTCAAGCAATGCTACCTTTGATCCTCTTGAGGTTATATAGCACTAACAATGTGATATCACTAGGGTCTATGGACACATTACAAAGTCAATCGCTAGAGCAACCTATCTCAGAAAAAGACTTGTTTTTCTTTTTGTTTGGCTTTCCCTAGCCTGTGTTGTTTTGTGTTTGCACGTTTGTGGGCTTCTGGCCTTCAATTGATCCGCCAGACACCTCCGCGCCAACTGGCATGTTCTGGTTTCAACCGTCCCTTCTGAAATCCCTATGCTCATCCAGTGTCCTGGTCCTGGCAACAACTTGGAGCTTCCAGTTTGTCGGTAACTTCCATTCCTCCTTGCTACAGTTTTCATCTATCGGACCGGTTGAATGAAGGGTAAAAAAGCTTTTCCGTGTTATCAAATGCTACAGAGGAGAAATGTACCTGGTGGCTGGTGCTGAACTCGATGGAAAGTTTGCCAGGCAGTTGCAGTTTCTCGGCGTCTAACTTATCCCATAAACGGTCCATTGGCAACACTAGTCTGTGTGTGTGTGCAAATCATTAATGTAACAAAGGAAAGATCCAGAAAAAAGGAATAATGGATCTTAAGGATATGAGCCCACACATGGAAAATCTTAAATCCAAATTTCCCCAAGGATAATCTTCCAATATCCCATGAATTCAACACAAACAATTTAAAATGGGGGAGAATGATACTAAGCTGAACTCCAAATTATATGACATAATTGGTTGACATAGCTGACAACCTAACAATAGGGTGGATCATCTGCGGGGATGGCAACGACACTAGAGGTGGATTTTTACTCAGGAGGAAGTTTCATCTATGCACTGAAGGCGTTGAACAAGAAGGGTGCCCCGGCTATTCCATGTGAAATTAACAGTCCACATCAAAGCGGCTGTAAGCTCAAGCATTTGCCATTACGTGTCTGTTTCCGGCCCTTTCTGCGGCCCATTGAGCCCTTTTCAGACTTGACAAAAACGGCTCAGGCCCCATTGTCAGATTGCTCCAAGGAAATCTTAGTGCAAGGGGGAATAAACAAACAAAAATCTCCAAACAGATTTCAGATGCAAATATTACTCCTGAATGCCCAACAATGCAGTGTCCATGATTTCAAGTTCCTTCAATTCATCCTGCATCAATGCACAAGATATGTTAGTCCCTCTGCTGTCCTGCACAGGTAAGCAGTAAGCTTACCAGCACACTCACTCACTATGGATAGAGGTAGAAGAAGATATTGAGAACAGCTCACACACACAGAGCACAAGCCCAGCGCTGGCCGAAAGCTCTGCTTCTGGATGTGCCAAATTGAACTGCCCTTTTGCATTGCCTTAGGTGTGATATATATACAAGTGCTAATACCTCTATCAGGTATATAGTTGTTGGTGAGTACACCAACTACCTACTCCTAAGGTACACCAACTACTCCTAGTACTAGCAGTACAAAGCTTAGATCAGCCCACTATCAAGACATGGCTAATATAATAGCTACCAACTAATGTACTAGAGATGGCCTATTGCCATATTGCTACAGCAGTAGATACTGGACAGCCGAGCTGACCAAATGCCAACTCTGCTGCAGCAAGAGAGAGAGAGATCAGCAGCAGATTATGTCTTACAAGATAAACATCATTAGCCAATGACTCACTGAACTGAATTGCATCCTGTATGAAAAAACTGTTCCAGATCGAGTACCCAATAGATCGGATGCCAGCTCCACTTACGGCTGGTCTCAGCCTAACAGCCTTGAACTGACGGGGATGGGAACAAGTCAGTTTTGGGTCTAAACAAAAGGATCATACAAGAGTTACCTGTTCTGTAATCTTTTTTTTCTAACCATATTGTGAACTGAAGGGGGGATAAAAATATATGCAAACAAGTTTGTTATGATCAAACTATTCTTTGTTTACATGTAGTAGTGCAATTGTATATTGGGGTATATATCTGTTCTAGTTTACCAAACAAATAGCACATCCTCACTGACAGATCCAGGGACTGCCATATTGTGAACTGATGAGAAAAAAGAAGAAATGCAACAGCGTTGGTTATGATCAAGCTGTACATTGTGTAAATGCAATGCAATTATATTGGGGGTATATATCTGCTCTAGTTTACCAAACAAATAGCAAATCCTCACTGAAAAATCCAGGGTCTAGTTTTTTCCCATATAATCCATTGCATATATTGAGCTCAATTTTTGGTACATGGAAAGGGAATGCCCACAGGTCACCTAAAATACAACCAATTTTACATAGCTACACAGCTGATTAGATATCTCCAAATGAATGATATGGTGCCAAGGTCACTAACAGAAGTACAAAAGAAGAGAAGATAGCTCAGGAGGATGTAACATCTCAAATAGGAGCTGCAGAAATGATCACCACCCTCTATTCTCCATGCTAACTAAAGAGTAACTTCTGTTCATATGACACCACTGCTCCGACCATGGGTCCATTATTGGGTCATCTATCCAGTGCGGGACTCTTTGCCGACTGGGTCAAATGAATCATTTGCCACATACCGGTTATTGCATCATATTGATCCAATCTTTGGGTTCTTCAACGGAGACTATTTCACTGCAGAAGCACTCCGATGCAACCCGGTCATTGCACTGGCAATATTGCCACTCGAGTGCTTGATCTGGAAGCTCCCAGCCCTCCTGGGCCGGGGCACGTAGAGGGCACTGAGCATCTTCTCCAAACCATCGACAGTGTACCTTACATACTTGCTGGCATTTCCCTCTTGCTCCACAAGTGGCCCATAGTTCTGCATGTAGCTCCGGTAGGTAGGAACAATAGTCTGCACCACAAGATTACATGTCCTCTCCCGCAAATCCTTGTCTGGTATAACCCACGACGATTGCCTGCAATGCATCTCATCAAAGCTCGAATTGAATGTTTTGAGGCGTTGCTTCACCAGGTCCCTTGCCGTGGCCCGGCCCTTGGAGAACAATATTAATCCCTCCCGGTTCAGTAGCGGTGAAAGTGCTCCCCAGCTCTCCCTGATGAACATTGACAAATAGTATTCCTTGTACTGTTCGTGCTCTCGCAGCCACACATCACCCAATACCTCTCCTAGCTTAGTAGCCTTTAGATGCCTAAAGAAATGCCAATGAGTATTCATCATGAAGAGATACGACAGCGTAGCATTGTCATATGCCTTGGACCAAACATCAAAGTTAGCTTCAAGGGCCTTGACAATGTTTAGCACCGCGTCAACAAGCATCCTGTCATTGAACACCTCTTTGCGCCAGCTGCGATGGATAGTTAGCACTTGCCCAAGCACAGGCCTGTATTGCTCACCAAGCAGTCGGTTGCAGTACTCGACGACAAAGGTAACTAAGCGCGGCACGCCCCCATCAACTGGGGGAGGCACGTGCCGCTGCAGCTCCACCTGCACAATCAATTCCTCAAAGATCTCGACAGCGCCGTCTATCAACAACTTGACAAGGTCCCTTGTCTGGCTCTGAATCTCTGCGCACACTTTGCCACCGAACAACCTATTGAAGTCCAGCCTCAGCTTATTCAAAGAATCAAACACCTCTAGCAGACGCTGGAGCTTGATGGGATCCTTCTTGGCATCAGCAACCGCACGGCCAAACCTCAAGAATTCAAGAACCCTGGCTTGTGCCGCCACCTCTGCAAAGCACGCGGACGCGGCATCCTTATGCTGCCCAAACACCTTGGCACAGAGCTGCCGCTCCGACTCGAGGAGACGGCGCACCAAAAACTCTAAATGCCGGCCCCACAACTCAAGAGCAGGTCCCAATGCCTGCGCGTCCTGAGACGGGTCGCGCAGGTAGTCGAGGCCGAGAGCACGAAGACTGGCACTGACCACACCCCCGCGCGCATCGATATAAGCGGACACGCAGCGGTCTTGCCTGCCGTTGGCCACGAGGCGATCGAGAATTAGGGTGAGCTTGTGGACGGCGGCGGCAGGCACGCGGGACGGCGCGGCCGAGCCAGCGGCGGCGCCGGGCTGCGGCATCGCGAGCGGCGCGGAGTGGTCGGCGAGGAGGCGGCGGAACTCGGCCTCGAGGATACCGAGGGCGGCGGCCAGGAGCCCGCCGTCGAGGTCGCCGGCGGGGGGTGTCCTGAGCTCGTCGACCGTGACCCCGAGGTCGGCGAGGAAGCGCGGGTCGGCGAGGTCGCGGTCGCCGAGGTACTCGACAATGTCGGCAAGCCACTGCGCGGCGAGCCCGCAGTTGTCGGCGAGGAACCTGTGCGCCTCCTCGAGCTGCGCCAGGACGGCGAGGTACCCCGGCAGGTCCCCGGCCGTGCCGGGCGCCAGCAGCGGCGGCTCGAGGCCGTGCACGGCGTCGAACACCTTGAGCACGGCGGCGGCGGGGCCCACGGCGCGGTCGATGTGGGGCCCGGCGGCGGCGAGCTCGGCTCGCGGCGCGCGGATCGGGCGCACCGCGGCCTCCAGCGCCGGCAGCGCCGCCTGGATCTCCTCCAGGCGTGGCCCCGCGCGGGCCAGCGCGTGTCCCAGCGCGCGCGACTTGTCCACGCCGGCACGCAGCGTGCGCCGCGCCGCCACGACGCGGCCCTCGCCGCCGCCGTGATCCATCCCGGCGGCCCAATCGACGGCGCCCGAGCCCGACGCAATGCAGGGCCCCTGGAGCCTCCCTCTCGGGCCCTCCCTCCCCCTCTCTCTCTCCTCTCCTCTTGCTGGAATCGGCTTCTCGCTTTCGTGTGGATTGCTGGCGAGTGGCGACCCAAAGGGAGGAGAGAGACTGAGACTGAGAGAAAGATGTTTTTTTTTTGAACGGAGGTTTTTGGTTGGGAAGGAATGGATGGATCGAATCGAAGAGGGGAAGGAGAAGATGATATGCCCGCGCGTGGGTTTGCCTTTTCGTGGCTGTATGAAAAGTGATAATAAACACTTTGTCAAAAAAAGTGATAATAAACAAAAA